AGTAAAGCAAACATGTGTCAGTGGAACTTAGATATCCAAGCAAAACTAGTTGATCTTACAGTGGTGCTTACCTCTATTAATAAGATAGTTTATTTTTATAGAGCCCGTTATGGAGAAACCATCTCAGTTAAAATTTGAGGGAGACTTAGAGGTGTTTTGCGAGTATAATTCAATCAAAATTTGTTATTAAAGTGCGGTCACACAATACTAGGATATGATGCATGAATAAGATAGTAACATTACTTTCTAGATTTATTTTTATGTGACGTTTCCTTGGATTTATCAAGATTATTTATTTATTTGGCTTTTTGTCTTGGGGATTTATCAAGAATAATCTTTGTTCCTCCACCACTCGGTAATCTTTAAAATCTTCAAACCTGTGTTGTAACCGTGTGACCATCACAGCCATACCTTTGGTCAATTAAGATATGCTAGTGTCTGCAGAGAGATTCTCCTTCTAAATTGGGAAAGAACTGGGCAACATTGTACTATCACTTGGGAGGTACACTTAGAAGGTAGTCATGTACACACGCAGTCCATCAATAGCGTTAACACGATAAATTTATTGGGCTTATGATGATGTTACCGTCAGGCATGTGAGATAAATCAAAACAAAAGATATAGTGGCATACGTGGGAACTGGATTTAATTTGGTCATTCGAACATGCATGTGGAGTGAAATGACATATGCCACAGATGTCCACATTATCAGTGATATTGGGCATTAGGAGAATTAACAAAGTATCTAAAAAAGTTGATGTAACTTTGTTTCAGTTTTGTCGATTGTATAATTTACTTACTGCGGATTTTTAAAATGAGTCGTAGAATTTTAAACATCAGTGTATAATAAAGGAAAACAATATTTTAACCATTTAGGGTTATTTTATGGTAAACTCTATTTTAAACCTTGCGTTATTATGAAGCGTTATAAGAATGTAATATTTCGTTTGATTAGATTTATACAAGAATATCTAATTTGCTAACAATTTGCCAGCTTAATTTTCTCAAAATTATACTTCTAAGCATCACTTTAGAGCTGGAAATTCCTGAAATAATAATAAAAATATGAGACCAAAATTTTAATAATGCAATGTTTAACAGACCATTTCAGTTCTCGTTTAAAGCATTATGAATTTTTCTGTAAGCATGCGTAAGTTATTTAGAATAGGATATATTGGCAAATGTTAACAGAGCTATAGACTTAGAAATCACGTATGCTTTATAGTGCTATTTGTGCATCCACTGACATTTATCATATAATATGCTTAATGATCTGTAACAATAAACATAGATGGAGAAACAAATTTTGTTTTACTTTCTTTTCACGTATTCTTTGAAGACATTATATGCCTGATTCTTATACTACGGGAATAACTTTTTTAAATACTGTGATAACTTTTCCATAATAAGTAATCCTAATAATTTTATTTCGCGAAAGTGTTCAAGGCAGAAATATATGTTTTGAGAATTCTGAAATTAATTGTTTAATAATAATGAAATTAATAAGGAAATTAACTGTATGCATATTTGATTGTTTTTAATTAACAACGCAAAGCTTATGCTGTCATTTCATAGTATCAATCTCAGTTATACATAATTTTCAGAAATTCTGTAAGTTTCAATGTATTTTGAATGGTTGATCATAAATCCTTAGTTTAAGAGCTGAATTTACTAATATTGGCTTTCGTTTTGTGGTAGTTTAACCAAAAGCGAAATCATTTCATAGCATAACATGAAATTCCCATTTTTCTGTCGGATCCTTATGAAAAACGTTTCGTTTAGCAATCCATTCCTTTCCCTACTGAAGATAATTTCTAAAGAAATACGATTTTCTAATTAGTAATACGCAAAACTGGTTTTCAAATCTATATAATAAAAATGATATAGATTTGAAAACAAGTTAAGATATGCTAGTGTCCGCAGAGAGATTCTCCTTCTAAAGTGGAAAAGAACTGGGCAATATCGTGCTATCAACCGCAGTATAAACTAAACAACTTTTATTCGCAATATAAACATTAATTTTAAAAGGTAGCTCTTATAAAGTTACATTTGAAAACTTTAACGCACAGTTCCCCACAAGATTACTTTATGCGACTGCCCAAAACAATATGATACATCGGGTCATTTAGATTGTATGAGGATAGTCCTTCTTTTTTCATGGCTAATTCGACTGCACTCGAGTAATTTGGAAACATTTTTCTCTTTGACATTTTTTGTAACGGAGACTATATGTCATATAAATATAGGAAACTTTAAGGAAATTAAATTTCGTAGTATTACAGTAATTACTGCTATAGAACTTAGAATACATCACGTGACTAAAATTGACGCAGTTTGAAAACTTGAACTACGTCTATCAACATCGAAAACCCCACGAACGTTGAAATTGTCTACTAACATCCAGAATTCTAGAAACGTCGAAATGGTTAAGTATGTGAAAAGGTCTGTTAAATTTAAAGACTCTATAATGGTTGAAACCATTAAGCACGTCGAATGGGCTAAAATGTTGAAAAGGGTCTATGGACAACCTTTCGGAAGATGCTCAGTCGTGCAGTCTTTTTGAAATGCTCCGTTCAAAAATAAAAAGTCGCTTAGCTTAACTCTCTAGATAACTGTGCAGCGCAGGCGCTCATACACCTCTGATCTCTTTCAGAAAAATATTAGTGTCCCTTCCCATGTCATATTGACTGTTAGGCTGAATGTTAGTTCTATTTGACACAAATATTAGTGGCAAATACAACATCTAACGTTCAGCCTTTAGAACAGTGTATCATAAGAACTTTCAAATATCACTCAGAAAAAAATGTTCAGAAAATAACGAATTGAACTGAATTTTGTGAAAATGGAAGTTCAAAAAGATGAATAATTTTATATTCTGCATGCATATCATCATCAGCGCAGGGGATAATCTCTCAAAAATTAGTTAAAAATTGTTTTGAAAAATGTGTGTTTTATGTACAAGGAAGGACATAGGAATTGTAAACCACGGCTATGTCTCATAGGAATTGTAAACCACGGCTATTGTTTCAAATATTAGTAAGGGAATTTGTAGTTAAACGAAGTAAGGAACGAAGGAATTTGTAGGAACGAAGTAGAATTTGTGTCAAATCTAAAAAATTATTTATTATTTCAAGTAACATTTTAAATTGAATCTTAGTTCTTTATTAAATGCTAGCAAGCAAATATCCTTTATATTCCAATACGCGCACTTACAAGCATTAATACTGAATTTAAACATTTAATCTAGCGTTTTAGTGAAAACTCAAAATTAATTGAAATATATAAAACTAACTACGATTATACGTTCTTTTTACTCTTGAAATTTAAATACACTAACGTTTATATGTTCTTGAGTATTGAATTCCATCTGAACGGGACATTCATACAAGAAGTAATGAAACCTGAAGCTTTATAGAACATCTTTTTAATAAAATGTAGCATCTTTTTGTTTATCGTATATGCCATTTTATTTTCAACTAAATTACGAACAAGGAAACTACTATTGAAACCAATATGGAAAACGCCTGTATATGTCTGATCTAAGTATAATATGAGAAAATTAGAATACTTATGTATATTTTACCGGGAATGTATCAATGTATTCATTCGGCGATGTATTCTTTCATAGAATTTTGAAGTATTTTATAGAATGCCGAAAATTGGCCGGCAATATATGAAACTATTAACACATTTCATAGGCATTCTCAAAAATTCCAAATAACAAATTGGCAAAGTATAAAATACATCTCAGATTCATTTCGAATATCCATACATTTAATACATTCATACATAATCCATGCATTTAATACATTCATTCCACAATTCCATACATTTCATACATTGTTTTCTTTAATAAGGAAGGCAGAAATTTTGTTTTGTACAACTTTTATTTTACTTTGGCTTATTTAAAAAAAAAAAAAAAAAAAAATTTAATGGCCCTCTTTCTTAAATAACTCTTTTTTAAATAACATTTGCATTTTTGAGGAATGCGTGTCTTTTATTTAATAGTCTTATGATGAACCTTTTTCCATACTTTACCAGAATATCATTTGTCATTCTATAAAATACCGAGCTATTACATACAATGTCTAGGAAAATATATTGCAGATTTCTTCACTTCGTAAATTCTAAGTTACTGTTGGAAGTGAAGAATCTTAAGAACTGATAAGTGAATAATCGCTTGAGTTCGTGTGACAGGAAACAACACGATAGAAGGATAAACTAGCCCTTTATTATTAAGGTTTAACAAAACTCCGTCTTGGAGCGTACAATAAAGCCGACACTTGGGCTTTGAATTTAAGATACTAAGAATAATACTAAACTAATCTAAGCTAAAGAGGTATAGCTGAAGCTATCAAAAATTCTAACAGAGTTGACCCCTTAAAGTTAATAGACTGCGAAGTTATCAAGGGCCTAAAGTAACGGCCGAGTGTGATAATAGGTTACGAGAGAGTAGTCTAAAAAGGCGGACGCGTGCAGACAGAATGCCTGGTATCTCTCTCCCTAAGACCGAAGAACTTCGCGGTTAAATACCGCTCTTTCTCATTGTGTATTCAGACGTGATTCTAAAACTACATTCTGGCCGGAAGTAGCAAGTTGAAGTTAATAATTGATAGAAAAGGAACTTTAACTCAAAATTTAACTGTTAATAAAATTAACAGAATCCTTACATATAATTCTCATATTTCATACCTTACGTAAAACGTAAGGCATCCCATAAAATGCCTATATAATGCTTAGGTAATGCTTTCTATAAAATGCCTAGGTATTATATAGAATGCTGGCGTTTCATACATCGCCTGGTAACATACGTATGCATACAATAATAATTACTTAAAAATCATTTAAATTAATGCAAAATTTAGCAGATCACATGCTCTTCAAATGCCCTTACTACCCATTTTTAATAATCCGATATCTTCGAAATTTTATTTCAACTTGAAATAACACATTTTACAAGCGGAGTGTGGCTTGATGATCAGTCGAAATATTTTACTTACCCTCTCTTCATCCTCGTATTTCCTCCTGAGGTCTTCGAGTTGGGTAGCCAGCTGAGTCTTGATATGATTGACATTGTCCAAGGAGACTTTGTATTCCTGGACCTCCTTCATGAGCTCGGAATTCTCGGAACTGAGCCTTGACCTCTGGGCAGTAATCTCCGTGACAGTTCGGTTCAGCTCTTCAATTCGGATGTTCATCTCATGAATGGTAACCTCTAACTTTTCCACCGTCTTTTGAGCTGACAACTGAAGAAATGAAAGAAAGTTTACTACAAATTTTGCAGATGCAATGAATAGCAAGTACGAGAAATGTAAATTTTTATTTTTAAGAGTGTTAGGGATATTTAAATTAAGAAACTGATAATTGAAAATTGATATTTTCTTTCAAAGAAATGTTAAGAAAAAAAAAACTAAATAAAAGAATAATAAAAAAATTCTGAAATGTTTCAGACTTTAAATTACGTCCAAAGTTTCGTTTTTTTTTTTTTTTTTTTTTTTTTTTTGTTTGTTGTTGTTGTTGTTGTTGTTGTGTGTGTGTGTGTGTTACCTTTATTTATAAATGAGCATATCTTTAGAATTTCCGATACACAGTTCGACGCGCTGGAGATAAAAGGGATTTCGCCCCCCGTAGAGTGTTGCTATATTGCTCGCTTTTAAATCTTTAAGTTTGTTACTCAAAAATTCGTTAAGTTTTACAAAATATGAAATCGATCATAAAACAAATTCCAAATTTCAAATTCGGGATTTCAGATGCCCATATTCGCAGTAGGATTACATCATTCAAAAGTGGATGGCTCTAGATACCGTTGTTTTATCACGATGCGAAAAATATACACACATTTATGCAGATTTTTCATTATTTAATTTCTTCAAATATAATGCAGGATTTTGTGGCAATAGTTTGAAAAGTGAACCGACATTTATAGGAGGGCGATGAAAAATTCCAAAACGAAAGTAATAGTCCTTCGGGGACTCAAATCTCATTGTACTAATTATAATTTTTAAAGAAATGGTAAGAAACTGATAATTTTAAAAAGAAAATTTTAAATACTATTAAGAATTAAAGTTAGTAATTTAGGTTATCTATTTTCCATGTTACATATATATCTACACACAATAATGTGATTTGCTACCCTTTATGCAACTTATTTTCTTTAATAAGAGTGCTTTTATGTATAATGTATGTATGTATTTTTATTCAAATAATTTTTCTTTATTTAATTAAGTTTGGATAGCAATGCAGCAGAGTCTGTACTTAGTTATATTAAGGCTGTAAAAGCATATTACACAGTTACTTTGTAATATACTTAGATGACATCTAACAAGAATTATCAGAAGTTCTAAGATCAAAGTTTGCCATGCAACTCTGTATTAAGGGGTGCTGAAACACCAAAATCTTCAAAAAATGGTGATTTCGAATTTTTACATTTTCAAATTCTCTACACTTTTATCTTTCTAAAAATACCATTCTTTAATCTCTATGAAGATTAGAACTGTAAACAATCTAGTTTTAATTTGCCATCGACTGCTTTGATCAATGAGGATTTTTACATTAAAACGCGTTTTTCCCCAAACGGGATTTTTTTATACTCGATGTGCCTTTTCTCAGGAACTACTGCTCACAGGTATCTAAAGTTTTTATAGCTTATTAGGTTTCCTAATATTTACTGATTTTTTTTTTTTTTTTTTTTTGTGAGAAAAGGGCTAAATTTTACTATGTCTAACAAAATATTATGTAAATAAGTCTAAAATTCAAAATGTTTCAAAAGCTCATTTCAGTATAATCAAATAGGTATACTTTAATTACAAGAAAAATTTCAAGCGTGTATATACAGTAGATTTTGAGAAAAGGTACATCGAAAATGGCCAATTTAACATTGTCGGTATAGGGGTTGCTGATACCCCTTAATAAGAGTGTTTTTATGTTCTGTGTATGTTTGCATTTTTATTCAAATAATTTTTCTTCATTTAATTAAGTTTGGATAGCAGTGCAGAAGAGTCTGTATTTAATTATATTAAGACTTTAAAAGCATATTACACAGTTACTTTGTAATATGCTTAGATGACATCTATCAGGAATTATCAGAAGTTCTATGATCAAAGTTTGCCACGCAATTTTATATTAAAATAAATTTTAAAAAGAAAATAAGTATCATGAGTTTAAATACTTTCCGTAAGACAACTTGGGATTATATAATTTCTAATAAATTGTTTAGAATCGAAGTTCGAGATTATTTAAGCTGAATAATGCAAAAAGTAATGTTTTTCATAACTTTTTAGTAAAAATATTAAATATAATAAATATAGAATGGTTATGAGAAAATACTAAATAAATAATTTAACTGTCATGTTCCTTTATTTTAAATGTTTTGTTAGGATTATAAAATACTCTTGTACTGAACTATTTGCATAAAAATAAATGTGGAGGAAATTATATTTTATAAATTTGTCTACTTTTAAAATTTAAATAGATTTTAACCACAAAACTTTATAAAAACTTAAAGAAAGTCTGAAAGGTTTCAGTTTTTAAAGATAGCCCGAAAGGGCTCTTTTAAAGTTATTATGGTTTATCAGTACAGATTATTCATAGACATTTCCCAAGTGCAACAGCGAAATATTTTATAGGATATTAAAAGAATATGCATTTAGACGAACAGGGAGACGTTATATATCTTTTGTATATTTGAAAAGTGAAAAAATATGTGATGTAATTCTATAAAAATATTTAACGGTTTTAATTATATATATCATTAACTAATTAAATTAATCAAATTAACCCTTTTCGGCACGTTACCTTTTAAAGTTGGAGTTTTGATTTAAAAAAAAAAACGGTTGGCAGTCTAATTAGGCCTAGAGGAGTACACAAGTAAAATTTTGTGGAGATAGCACTTATCGTTTAATTCTGTGGGACTGATTGAATAGAGCGTCGAAAAGAGTGCTTAAAGAGCATTGTTGTCAATGAACTGCCTCATGAGATGCGGAGAAACAAAGAATACGGACTCTCAGTTGTCCTAGATTATCGCTGAGCCCGGTCTGGGCACACCTAGGGTTCGCCGTTTGATTTTAGGCAAGATTTCAAGGTAAAAAATTAAAACTAATATAGAATAAGGAGATTAGCATATATCCAAAAAAATAACATGGAAATTTCTTTTCAAACTATTCCTTTTATACCCTAAAAAAAATCTGGAAGATTTCTTTGAAACATGAGGGTCTTAAAAAACTAAACATGGCTAAAATATATGGACCGGTTTGTGTTGAGATGCCATCTACTATAAATAAAGAAGGTTCAGAGTAACCTATATTAACCTATAAATACTTTTTCATTCAATTTTCTGTGCGTACAGAAGGAAATTTTTAGGTGTGTCCAGACCGGACACACTGTGCCGCAAAGGGTTAAAAGGAAAAAAAATATGCTTTTTAAAAACTGCTTTTAAATAATTTAGTTTGTTTATCAGTAGGAGACAAATTAAATATGAAAGAATAATACCTCAAATTTTTCCGAATGGCAACAGACTCGAATGAAAAGGAAAACAATACATTAAAGTGAAACAACGCAAAATAGCGTTTTGAGACTAATAACCCTTTTCTGCTAGTAGACTATAAAAGTTTTATGTGAATTTTGAAACCAAAATTGGGGGACAATTTTAGAATATTATTTACGTCGTAAAGCAATTTCCAATTTTCTAGTTTTCTTTCTTTTCCTTTGGCAGAGTTTTTTTAAATTACTCTTTTCTTGGATTGTTTTATATATTTTACTTTGATATTATTTGGTTTATCTCTTACTGAGTCTTTAGAATTCTTCATTTCTTTTATTTCCTGTTTCTTACATGTATAGCAATGATGTATAAACACACTAATATATAGATTAGACATTTATGTTTGTTATGAATCAAAATGATTATTCAGAATACAAGGTGTATTGAAAAATTTCAAGAATATGTACTAATGAAATCACAAAATAAGTAGGAATGGGTGAAGATCTGATTGCATGCGAAGGCAGTATTTGAATAACACTCTTTGAATATACAAGAAGCAAGAAATATTTTCCCATCTAGTGTATCCTATCCATCTTTTACAAGCAGTATGGTTCAAATATTAATACAATTGCAACAAAAAAGCAAAATAGAAAGCAGTATTAGAAACAGATTTTTAAAAAGATCAAAATGTTTTATTTAAAATAATTTTAATGCTTTTATAGCTTTTACTTAATTAAATGTTTTTAAATCGTATTACAGATTGATAAAATTGTTTTAGAACTGAAAGTGTTTTATTCAAAAACATTATTAAGAATATTCTTTAATTGTATTGTTTAATACAAATTTCCCTCTAAACATTTAAAATTCCTTCTAATCATAATATTTAAAAAGTGTTATTTAATACAAACTTCCCTCTAAGCATTTAAGAAGTCTTCTAATCATAATATTTAAAAAGTGTTATTTAATACAAACTTCCCTCTAAGCATTTAAAAAAGTCTTCTAATCATAATATTTAAAAAGAAACTCAGTATAAACATAAAATTTATCACGTACGATGTGAAGATAATGATGTGCTGCATTTTGAACTGTTAGTCCAAAATGGGTTATTTTTCTCGAAATTGGTTTTTGCGTCTAATCACCATAAAAGTATTGTTTCACTTTTGGTTCGAGTCTTTTGGCATCTGATAAAATGTAATTTATCTTCCAAATTGAATTTGTCTCTTGTAGATTAACAAACTAAGCTGTTTGAAAGCAGTAAATTCATTTCTTAAGAATATTCATTTCTTATATTTGAATCGGATTCATTTAACTAATAAAAAATACATTTAATTCATGACCTATCAAATTATAAATATTCGCTATTTTCATAGAACAACGTTATATACTTTTTATCATTTATTTTATATTTTCTAAAACTTTAATGAATTTTTGATTAACTAACTCAACGACTGGAACGCGAGCAATGGCAACACTGAGCGGAATAAATCGTTTTTATTTTCAGCGCCAGAAACTGTCTATCGGAAATTTTAAAGGTATGCTGTTCTTAATTATTTTGTGTTTTTGCTGCTGAATTTAATTTTATGGGACGTAAGTGCGAAGAGCATGATATTTAATAAATAAAGATAATAATTTTAATTTTAATTATAATAAAATTAATAATATTAATTTTTATTAATAATTAAAAGACAAAAAAAAATGTTTTGCGAGCCATCTTACTAATTAAAACGAACATTCATACGCTAAACAGCGTAATGACTAATAAAAATAGAAAAAAGTAGCTCAACAGTTAACACGGCATCGTATTTTCTAAAATACGCTGCTATGCTGCTCTTAAAATTTTTTGCAACTTTGTTGTTGAATGAATTGCATATGACGCAAGCGCGATGAAAATTATCCTTAATAATAAAGCTAAAGAAACAAAAAGAGATCAGTTAGCTGGAGTGAGTGCGATAGCAGACTGGTAGACTGCGAACTCAGCGATAGTGTTAAAAGTGTTATCCTTTTGGGCTGTCTTTAAAATCTTAACTTCTTCAGATTGTTAATATTATTTATTCTTTTTGTATATTTTTAAAAATAATAATCTGATAAAAGTTTATGGTTTCTAAACAATTTTCTGAATCTGGAAAAATATAGAAATAGGAACGCCTCGGTACTGGTTTTTTTGACAGTGAATTTCGCTTCTTAACTGATTCTTCAAATTATGGCCATTATTAGGAATAAAATTTAGTTGTGTTATACTCCATCTAAATGTAATAATTCTTCATTTAATAATGATATTAAAAGAGATGAAACAATATGTGTTTAAAATGAAAAAATTCATAGAAAAACCTCTTTGTAAAAATTGGAAACGAATTTATTCCTTAAATTTTGGAGAGAAGTGCATTTTATATAGCCTGTATCGTCGATGCTTATATTTCAATCTCAAAATGAAAATGATGTATGTATTACCTTGTCCTTATGTGCAGTTTCTACTTGGGCCAAGAGATCGTACACTTCAGCCTGGTACTTCTGTTTTTCCTTCTCAATCCTGTAAAAATATTTAATGAGATTATTTTTACATATTTAATGCTAGAATCGATAAAATAATTTTAATGTTTTAGATAATATCGTTCATGGGTTCCAATATTAGCGCAATTCGAAAATTGAAATTTTGAAATAAAAGTGTAAAAGTTTTCTTCGTTCTGAAATGCAAAATCGTATGCTTAATTGATGGGTTAAGTTGTCAAAGGCTTCGCAAGAGTTCTGTTAACAACAGTTATTATCAACTGTTATAAAATTAATATGATTTAATGATACATATGCTCAAATTGGGTAACTTTTGTCATTCTTTTGATTTTATTTTTTTATATTGAATTATACTGGAAGTTCACGGCCCGTAATAATAATAATAAATTAGACACAAGAAATTAAGTATTGTTAATAATGTTATCACAGTGTGGCATATACTTCAAAATTATGAAATGGGGATTATTAATTTTTTGAATGTTACATTATTAATCCAAATACAAAAAAAAAGTAAACAATTTTCCAATATTTACATAATAGAACCTATTTTAATGATTGAAATTTTAGATCTCTGGAATATGTTGAATATGAGCTTGGTATTGCATTGCTGGCGATTTATCTTTGTATATCGCGAAATTTCTTTTTAGTTATTGCAAGAAGTTTGTTGTAAACCTTTTTCAGTTCCTGAAAGAACTGCAAACTTTTCCTGCGTCTGAAGGCATTCACAATGAAAATTTTAAATTCTATTTCCTCCAAAGGAGTTTTGTAAAATAAGTAATGCAACTTACTTTTACTTTTTACTTTCAAAATGGAAATTTTGTTGACATCTACGGTGTTACAGCTAATATTTAAAACAAATTTTGACACGCTTGATCTGTAAGATCTTTTACATTAACGAAGTAGTGTTGTTAAAGAATGTCAGTATTGCTGTCAATGTACGCGAAAAACGAAAGAATGCAATATAATAACTGTTGTCACCTTTTACGGCGTTACTGAACTAAAATATACACCAGTTCAGCTGCCGCAAAGAAGACGATTTTATAGCATTCGGAACGGTCATATTTCAAAATTCGTCTTTTCTGTGCAATTATGGCAGCCCATGTTGCAGTTTCACTAGGGAAAGCAGCTTTCTGATTTAGTTTTGTGTTTATTTCCGATTCACGGATTTTTTTAAAGCACCAATTTCAGCAACAGAGGAAAGGTGAAGTATTTTGTTGTAAGCAAAATGTTGTAAATACTGTAAGTATCTTCTTTTGAGTGATAAATGAATGACAAAAGAACTTCAGTTTCCTTTTGGATTATTTAAGCAAAGGTCTGGATTAAATGAAGGTAAGCAAAATTTCTTAATAAACACAAAACAATGTTTCTTTTAGGATTGAAGATGTGGGGATATTTTCGCATTTACTTTAGTATGACATAAATCGATTCCATAATAAGGAAGTTTGCATAAGTCATAAATACAGTAAGACATAATTTGATTCACTTTATTGAAAAAGAGCAGTAAGCTTACTTTGCGCGGTGCTTATTGGATTGGTCCAACTGGTCTTGCAACTCAAGGATAGCTTCTTGATGTTTCTTCCTCAAATGGTGTGCAGTCTCTTCGCTTTCCAGATGGACGTCTTCCAGCAGTTTCCGTAGCTTGGACAACTCTGTGTCCCGCTTCTTGTTCATCTCCGACTATTGAAAAGGGAAGAAATGATATAATTTAAGAACCGTGATTTTCAGATACAAAAGATGAACAACACGCAGATTTTATATAGAATATATACATATATCTACGTTGCGGAAAGGTTAAATAATATATGAAATAAATGATCAAGCAAAAAATACCTTAGTACCATATATTGCTTTTCTTGCACAGAATGTTTTTATTTTACAGCTGCAGTACTGTTATTATCTGTTTCGTTACTTACCTTCACTCTTGTTAATTGTGCATTTGTTATTTTTCAATTTAGATGCCATGGAGCAGCTCGTTAAGGAGCAAAGCATCGTAATCGCGAAGGGCTTGATTTGGTTTAGTTTATTACGGCAATGCACACAAAGGCTATATGTGTAAGGGAAGGGATGCCTTCGTGGTGGACTTTGTAAGGGAAACTGGCCCGTAGACATTTTACACGTGACGAAAACTACAAAAACGCCCATGCAGCCAACCCGTTGGCCGATTCGAACCCAGGTCGTAACTACCAGCGTTCAGCTGTTGTACAGCTCTGCCGCTGGTGGGCAAAATGAACAATACCCTCGCTGAAGCTGGAGCCCTGAACCTTTCGAATACGCATCGAGTGTGCTACCGTTACACCACGAAAGCACAGTAATCGTGATACTCTTTACGAAAACGGGGAGTGATTCATAAATTTTGCATGATTTTCGTGCCTGGAGAATGCCTTTATGCTGGATGAAATGGATACTGGAAATATAATGTGGTTTCAGCAAGAACTATCTGTCACGTTTATGATCTTATTTCATGATATTCTTGAGTTAATAACCTTATTTCACGAAAGATATGCTAGATGTGTGACGCAGGGTACGTTACCAAGTACACCTAGGGCATACCTGTTATCGTGATTAGCCATTAATGGCTTCCGAGATCTTATAATCTCCTATCTTCTTGAATAAAACGTAATACCTGTTGATGATGAATTGCATCATCTTTTCGAAATGTAATAACGCAAGGAAAGATAGAGAATTTTCATTTGATTATGTGAGGCTTTAAAATAAGTCTTTGATATCTGTAAATATCAAAGCTTTATCCATCGTTCAGTGTTGAATTCTAGACTGGGCTTAGGCTTCACAAATATTCTTAATTTTATGAATGCAGTGTATATTGATACAGCAAATTTTATGTAATACGGACTCAAAATTGTTTAACAATGGAGAAACTTATTACTAAACTTTTTTTTAAACTTTGTTTGCTGTTTAAAATTACTCAACTATCAAAAAGCAAATATTTTTAATGCACCTAAAGACAGATCTATTTCTTCACCTAATTGTTTGGTCCCATAAAAGGCCTTGATTTTGTTGATCCTTTGTGCTTTTAACTTGGGACTATATTTCACACACAAAAAATTATAGAACAATATATTTATAAATTAATCGTTGATTTCTTTATAATAAGAGTAGTCAGTTATTTTTAATTTATTTTAGCTATCTACCATGAATTGTTTTTCCTTCTTCACTTATTCATCTTTTGCATTAGCTAAGGTGTTTCCTCATTGATAATGAGAAAACACGAACGAATTTTTATACCGAAGCAAAATACAGCTTTCGCTACTTATCATTTAATGAAAAATCTGATTTTGAATATAAAAATATGCAGTTTTGTATTACAAAAGTGTGGTATTCTGTTTTTGTTTTCTTTCTTATATAGTTATGTAATTTGTAGTATTTATTTTTGAGGCTTCATTGTATCACTTTTATACTTTCTGTTCCAAATAATTCTGTATGACGGAATGTAAGTACAATTCAATGATTACTACTGAAACAAATAAGGAATATAAATTTAGTTATTTATTCATAAAGATATGACGGAATGTATATGGAAAAGCATGTAAAATTATATAAATTTAATTAAATATATCCGCTGTTATTATCATCTATCTTTCTTCAAAACGATGCCCAATAGTTTTTAATTATTTTAAGACAGAGATAAATATTCAAAAGCTATTTGGAGATTGTTTATTTAACCTATTAACATCCAATTTAAATTTTTAAAAAATTAATTGTTTGCAATTCTCATACTTTCAGTGTTTTAATTCTTGACTGAACACTGCTTATAAATGTTTCATCTATTATCAGCAATTTCTAAGATATTTCAGAATAAATAGTATTTTATCTAAAATTAAATAAACTACTTTTGAATATTTCTCGCATAAATATGTTTTTAAAACTATTACATATGTACAATTATTTGTACTCATACTAATGTACTTTTTGTTTTATTACTTTTAATTCAACCTTATTTAATGTAGCAAAATGGAACTGCATTTTCAAACTATTCTAAACAAATATACACAATCCAAGTATTTTACTCTCCTATCATAAACTAAATCGCAAGAAGGAGGCTTCATGATAAACAAACATAGCTTAAAATCTAAATTTAAAATTGCAGTCCTGAAGTAATGCCAAAAAAAATGTCAAATGATCTTTAAAAGAAATTTTACAACCTAAAGAAACTAAGAACATTTAAGCAGAAATTTAGTTTTACAGAAAAATATAAAAATCAAGCTACATCTTGAAAATTTCAGATGCATTAAAAATATTTTTGTAAAAATTTTGAATGTCATTTCTTTAGTTTGATAGAATCTAATTTTTATTTATTTGTATAATAATGCCTATATCCAAAAATATTCCACATCATTCAGAAATTTTATTTTTTAATTTTTTTTATATATTTATTTTATTTATTTATTTATTATTTGTTTATTTCTGGTATCCATTATTTGATGTGCTCAGAGATCGTTGATTCATGATTAAATGTGAGGGATATGGCTAATATCTCAATAAGTAGGATTAGAAAAAACAAATTAACATTACACACAGTTTAATTACTTAAATTTTCATATCATTGAATAAAATTATTGAATTTCAAATAAATTATTGTTTTTATTATTATTAATAAAGTAATTACTCAAATATCTGCATGTGTTATTTTTTTTCGTTTATCTTCAATTTCATTTCATAAGAACTGTTTTGTTTTGTATGTTTTAAGTTTTAATATGCAAGGGAATTTCATCTTTTGAAAAAAACATACCTGTGATTCTGATGATCCCTCAGCTTCATCCAGACGTTCCGACAACTGCATCAAGTGGACGGTGAGGTCGGATTTCTCGCGTTCGATCTGCAAATTTCAAAAAGAAAAATTTCGTTACGTGTGAGAAAAGTAAAGTTACATTAAAAATCACAATTTTTGCAAATGTACAAATAAATTCGTAATTTTTAAGCTGGTGTAAGGTTCTGTACATACCAGAAAACTTGAAATTCTTTTTTTTTAAAAAAAACTAATAGCTATCATCAAGTATTTTCAAAGTTTGAAGCTAATCAATGTTATTATTACCCTCCCCAGATGGCAGCACCACTAATTTAAGACTTCCACCGATATTTTAAAATATTGTTTAAAATCAACATTTTTCTTTGTAATAAAGAAAATTCATGTTTTTTTGAGCTAAATTCTATTAAAAAGACTGTTGTTATATTTTTGTAGCAAATTAAATCAAGAATTATAGAATAAATCGTTTCCAGTAAACTGTTACCTTTTATGTTCAACTTTCGTCACTAGATGGCAGCACCATTACTTAATGTTCAGGTTGTGTCTAAGTTCATAATGTATAAATCAACGATAGCTAATTTCATCGATTTTTTTTACTAAAAATTTTTCTAAAACTACCTAGTAAATTCTTAAAATTTAATCTGTTGAATCACTTTAGGATAGTTAGTACTGAACCATATTAATAATAATAATACGATGTATATATTGATCTATAAAATATTATATGAGAATACCGTTCGATTATAAATAACTTCACAATCAACTTGTTATACACCAATGCTTCTTACTTCAAAAAAAAGAGAACTTTTATTTTAAGTTTGAAATAATTTTCAAATAAAAAGTCTTATTATTTTTCAACGATTAAAGGGCAAGAAGATGAAATGCAAAATAAACGTCTTGCAGTAAAAAGCGACCGCGTTGTATTCTTTCCTGATGTGCATTAAATTTATTCATTTAAAATAAATTTAAAGTTTCAATTTTTTTTAAATTCAAGCTGTATTGTATCCCTTATATTTTACAGTATTCGCTACCTAAATATTTTGCCTTGCAGTCTATCCCAAATATCAAATATAAATAATACAATGTCTTTCACTGTGTGAGATAACGAATAAGAAGAATCTCTTCTTCATGGCAAATAAAGACTCAAAATTCTATGAAATATCTGAAATCTTAATTTTATAGAAATGTTATTTGGTTAGCTTATACAAAAAGTTGTATCACTGTATACAAAATTACAGTCTTCTGAGCTGCTTTCTTCTTAGTACATTACACGATCCGTAAGTCCTGTATAAAGAATTTTCTGTAATACCGTTACTATTAATCTGGACCTTTTGCTCTAGAATACTAACGTATTATACATCTCAGATATATAATTTTAAATTATCTCTTCCATTACATGGAAATTTCAGCATTCTGTCAGATAAATAAAGGAGAACGTTACCCCCCCCCAAATATCACAGTGCAATTACTAAAATAAGAACAATGCAACAGAGATCATAGATAAAATACCGTACTCCTTATTCATGCAGTTCCAAAATTTATGTAAAAAATCTCTAAAGTTTCCCTTTTCTTGGCTACCTGATGTTATACTGATTTGATTTTTATATTTCTGTAGTTGTTAACCCAATTAATTTTATTTGATGAAGTACTCGCAATTTACCGACATTAATTGCAGAAACTTTTTCGCTAATAATTCTCTGTTTAAAGTTTCTTTGTATCTTGAATCATAAAACCACAGATTTGGCTTTAAACACACAAACTTTAAACAGGGCTGTAAAACTTATCTTAACTGCATTTTTTTAAAGGTAAAATGCAAAATAATAATTTTACACTCGATGTTTCTATTTGTGAAAAAGTTATACTAAACATTTTATTTGCGCAGCTTTTAAATAAATGTGTGTATAATTTCAAAAATTGTATTCAAAAACCGATTAAAATATATAATGATAATAATTCTGTTTTAATAAAGATAATCATAAGTTCAAAAACTTATGAAATTAATGAATTTTCTTTCCATTGTCCAAATTACGCATTTAATGTTGTATATAGTCCATATTTATCTTTTCGTAGCAGAGAGTGGGTTTCATACCCTCCTCATACTCTCGTGTACGGTATTTTATATTTCACTCTTTATTTTTAATTTATGAACAAACAAAGTTAATTAACAAAAATAGGTTACATTATTCTGTAAGTATGTTCATATATATGAAGATATTTAATATTTCTTTTTATATTTGAAGATAACCCTTTCTTGCGCCTAACAGAAATTTCTAAATACTATCTTGAAAAATAATTTACAGAATGAAGTCATTTTTCTCTAATGAAAGAAACATTTAATTAATATCAGATTTCCGGAACAGCTTTGTATATTTTAAAATTTCATTTGTTTAATGGTTCCTTTATACTGCATTTATTATTATTCTTGCTAGTTTCAGAAGTTGGCATTCGTACTAGTCAGAAAATGCTTATTCGAATTATACATTGAATAATTTTCAATATATTAGCTCTTTCGTTAACACTGTGTCTACTTGTTTATACCATTACACGCTTCCCCTTATTTACGAACAAAACAACTTCCTCTTATTTCCTCTTATTTAACTTATATTATTACCTTCTTTCTAGTTTATACTTTTACTATTATACTTTAATTTTTTATACTTTTATTAGTCCAAAGGGGCTTCGTTTCTCAGAGACTATTGTTTTCGTTTCGGCATTTTGCCTTTAAATCGTTAAAAGGCTATATCACTTTTCAAATTGTTGCCACCAAATATTATCGCCCTGTATTATATTTGAAGAAATTAAATAATGAAGAATCTGCATAAATGTATGCATGTTTCTCGCGTCGGGATAAAACAACGGTACCTAGAGCCATCCAATTTTCAATGACGTTGTCCTACCACTAGAATATGGAGATCTGTATGCTCCGAATTTGAAATTTAGAATTTGTTTTATTATCGATTTCATGTTTTGTAAAACTTTAACGAATTTCTGATTAACAAACTCAAGGATCTCCAAGCGAACAATGGCAACGTTGTACAGAAAAAAACATTTTTATCTTCAGACCGCGAGACTGTGTATCTGAAATTCTAAAGATATGCTCAATTTAAAATTATTTTGCAATATTGCTCTTGAACTGAATTTTATGATTTAACTGGGAAAGATATCATATTTAATAAAAAAAAGGAAAACACAAATGTTAGAGAACGCCCCTTTGGACGTAATTTAAAATCTGAAAAATTTCAGATTTTCTTTTTTGTCTTATATTTTTATTATTTATTTACAAATCTTTTAGCACGAAAGGACTATTAGTCTCGAAATACGATTTTGCGTTGTCTTACATTTCATTTGAGTCTGTTGTCATTCGACAAAATGTAGGATATTTTATCTTTAAAGCTTAATCTGTCTGTTATTGATTAACAAACTAAGCTATTTAAAAGCAATAAATGCAGTTCTTAAGAGGAGTTATTTTTTTCTACTTTTTAATATGATTGATTTAAATAAAAATACACCAAATGTTTGATATATCTAACTGAAAACATTAAATAATTTTATGGAATTATGTTAGATATTTTTTCACTTTTCCAATATACAGAAGATATATAACGTTTCCTTGTTAATATAAATGTAATTCTTCTAGTATCCTATAAAATGTTTCGCTATTCCGCCTGTGCCATCTGTATTAATAATCTCTACTGTTAAATTATATTAAACTTTCAAAAAGCCCGTTTAGACGACCTTTAAAATCTCAGCCCTTTCAAACTTTTTGGGGGGCTTTTTTTTATCTTTTAACTAAAAAAGCATCCATTTTTATTTTGTTTACTGTGCATTATACACTAAAAATTCAATAGCTATTAGTCATTTTCTAACAAATTTCATCATAAACAATTAGAGATTTTTTGAAAGCCAGTCATGCTGTCATAAATTTTAGTAATTAAATGATTAGATATTTACTTACTTTTTGTCGGAGTTCCCTTTCGAATTCTAAGTCCTCTTGAAGCAGTCGGATTTTGTCCTGAAAAGAAAGAACAATTAATATCTTGTTAAAGTTAAATAGCACAGTTTATTGTGTTTTTTACTAGAAATCAGATATATATCTGGTAATCGTTGAGAAATAAAATTCAATAATTAAATAACACTAATTTATCTTATAATTATTCAATTTAATTTGCTAAATAAATTGAATAATGAATAATTAAACTTATAATGCATATTTAATAGCACTAAACTGAACTTAAAATCTATTTCTAGAGATAGTTGCTAAACGTTGTCACAGTAAGAACCAATATAAAAAACGCAACAATGAAGCATATACCCTGCAAATATTTGACAGATTTCTAGCAAAGCAAAATGAAGTAAAGGAAAAAAAATCTGGAAAAAGGAAGCATTGTAAATTATATCGGACTGTTTTTAATAATCAGAAAATATACCTAACGTGAAATAAAATCTGTACTATATTTTATATTTAAAAAAACATTAATTTACTGGTAATGGTACTGCTTGAAATTAAGTATAATAAGCTTTGCAAAAATCATGTACTTTTTTTAAAAAAATTAAAAATTTTTTGAAATACTATGTATTTAAAAATCGCGGTATAAATTTCAAAAATAGCTTTAAAGATAATAAAGTAAGCCTGCCGCACCTAAGCTTAAATTGCATTGCTGTTCTGTGAAATTAATTTCCATGCACTAGATGGCAGCACCATTTCGATTTTTTTTTTTTTTTTTTTTTTTTTTTTTTTTTTTTTTTTTTTTTTTTTTTTTTTTTTTTGAGCTTGAAAGATAAAAAGCGAGAGAAAACTAAAGGTTTAAATTTTGTTAAATACTGGACTTACTTTCCAAAGCATTACAAATTAAATTTAATGACACGGATTCCCTTGATATGCTGGAAATAATTTTATTGCAAAATGTTTAGTATTAAATGATAACAAATACTGCAAACTTTTAAAAATGGCTTTAATATTTAATATTTTTATTAATACTTGAATAAATTTTTTTAACATAAGAGTGTATAATAATTATAAGAAAAAAGATATTATTAGTGCAACTACTACTGAAATTGGATACAGGTTTGAATATAAAATAGCGTTATGAATATATTTTGGACCGAAGAAGTCACAGATTATCTGATATTCAAAATACCAAAACAGTTGGGTTATCTCCTTTCTTATGCATTCATTGTAAATAAGAGACATTTAAAGTATATTCAACAAAAATCTCAAATTTAAAAAAATTATTTTATTCTCTTAACTAAATACAAAATGCCCATTTTTCGATAAATGAAATTATTTTTTTATTTACATAAACAGATAGTGATATTATACATATATTTAATAATATTCATAAAAAAATTATTTTCATGTATGTGTGCTTTAAAAGTAAATCCATATCTTTTTTGAAAATTTTTCTATGTTAGAATATCACGAAAAATTCATTTTCACTAGCATGTAACCTATTTCTGTTCAACAACAACCAGAATTGTATGCCATTGTTTACACACTTAAAATAATAAATTTCAAAACATAATATATACTGTTAAAACTTCTTCATTTAAAACTTATCATAAATTTATAGTTTTAATTAAAAAATAATAAATGTGCAAAAAACACTTAATCAAGAGCATTGAAAAATTAAAAAATGATTTTTTCTAAGTCAAAATTGTCAACGAGAAAAATATGCTAACTCACTGTAGTCATTCATATTTATGCCATTCCTGTGCTATCACTTTTACTGCTCTTTGAAATTTGTTAGTATACCAGTACATTTCGTGCATAAGATCCTCCCTATTTCATTTTTAGACGTATGTGATCAAGATATTATGACAGCTACATTTTTTTAAAATTTTTAATACAGTTGGTTAAAACCTTAAAATTTAAAGTAGTTGAGTTTTTTTTAAAATATATTTTATATAATTTTAGTATATAGAATGTGGAAAAATAAAAAAATCCTTGCCTCTGGACGTAAGAAAGTTGTTCTTAGTAATTTGGTATATAGTGATATTCAATTCATTGATATTTTTATCTAATTTAAAAGTCTACTTTCACCCCTTAAAATAATGTGCCTGATATTAATGAATAATTAAATCTGTTGTCTTAAAATCCATCACTTTAGCAACTTCTTGACTAATAATGTCGAATTAATTCGGAAAATTCTTCAAAATTCAACAGATCATATTAGAAACTCTAAAAATCCTCCATTTGGAAAGCTCTTTATTTACCTCTCTGATGGTGCAAAGATTAAAATATAATTATTAGTTTGAAGATTAAACAAAAATATGTGAGAAAAATCAAATTTAAATATTAAAAAACACTTGTTCTGCTTTTTAGGAAAATTCCGGTGGAATATTATATTGTCATGGCAAATATGCACCGGTAAATAATTTTGAAAAATCCTGATTGTTAGAAGAGAATCGAGGATTAATTTGAAACAAAGAAACTAACCAATCCACCAATAAACAGAGAGAGACCAAGTTAAATAAACTGTATTAAAAGATTCATTAGTTTGAAAACTAAACAGACATTTTCAAATGGTAAATTTATATTATTTATTTAATCAAAAAGTACAAACCGCATAAAGGTAAATTTACATTATTTATTTGAAGGTAAATTTACATTATTTATTATTATATTTTGACTTAAAAAAAAAAGGAAATATTTTACTAGAAAAAAGATCTGAAATTAAAAAGAAAATAAATCTATTGTGGATGCCATATGGCTTCTTTGTATTGCATAATAAATTATACACTTATTTTGCTGCCTTTCATTTATACTCATTTCCTCAAATTACTGTAAATTAACTAACAGATCCTTCAAAGTAAGTTGAAAATGACATCAAACATTACAAAATCGGAAATTAAACATCCCCGTCAACTTTTGCCGTAGGGGGGAGTTCTTATAACTTCATTTTTTCATAACAAGTATAAAACTTTCTTGAATACAAGTACAGCAGTCAGGCTGTACTTGTATTCAAGAATCTTATAAGTATCTTATAAGAAATATTATTTTTATCAAAAATAAGATTTCAGTATTTATCGAAAGAATTTTTTTTTTTATTTTGAGATTGTAAAAACACTGATATATTCGTCATTTAAAATACTTGTGCAACTGGAAGTATATGACTACTATCAACGACTGCGAAAATAAAATAAAGGCATAATACAGCCTTTTAAGTGGAGTAAGGGGGATGTCTATATAATATGTACTTTGTACTTTCGATATGCCGACTGCAGTATAAAAGGGAGATGCAGAACTAGATCCTATAGCAGACTCATGTACAAAATTTCAACGTCATATAGCTAATCTTTTTACATTATGCGAGATACATACATGCGTACAGATGTCAGGAAAAATTCCATTTTGAATGCATTTTAAAGCCATTTTACAATATATAGTCAAAATGGATTCATAAATAATACTTAATAAACACTTATTTCCTTAAAACAGTTTGAGTATAAGGCTTAATTTTCAAAACTAAATCTGTCTCAGATTCAAAAAGGCCAATAAGGAAATAAGGATAAAAGCGGAACAAAATAAGGAATAAGGAAGCGGAAACAAAATTAAATAATAAAAAAGGAATAAAATTAAATCAGTAAAACAGCAAATAATCGCTATTATATGTATGTAAAATAAAAAAATTAATAAATAATAATTGATAAAATTAAGCAAATGGTAAATTAATAATACATTGAATAAAAAAACGAAAGTACCGTAAACGTTAAAAAATCTTTTACAAAACAGAAAAGCGTAATAACAGAATTAAAACTGAGCATGAAAGAAACTAAATGATCTCAAAAGAGATCCTTATCATTTAAAAAGAATACATTCGATTCAAGCAAGAGCACCTTATTCATATAATTCAATCATTATAGCAAGAACGGCATAAATACATTGATTTTCTGAAGTATAATAATTGCTGGAAATTACACACTAAAAACATTTATAATTTTATATAGAACAATTAATAGCATGTAAGCAAATGAAGAACATCCTAAATAAAAAGCAGTGATTTAAAATGAACCGAATTTCAAAATATTAATTTTTGCAAAATCTGTACGCATATTGATGACAGTTGACACGAGATCCCCCCTACCCGCTTTTTTTTCCCAAAGAGCGAAGGTATTCCATCAAGAATATCCTTTTTTTTTCAAAGAGCGAAGGTAATATATCAAGAATATCGTTTTTCCACAAAGAGTGAAGGTATTCTATCATGTATAAAACCTACTTCAGTCTAAATTTATATTTTGCCTTAACTGAAGTAGTTTTTTTCCATCTATTAAACATACTAGGGAAAAAAATCTATGTGAAGTCTTTCTGTACGCTCTCGTAAGGTTCAATTTCTTTTTTTTTTATTTTTTAAAAATACCTTACTAATGTTTTGAATGAAAATGGAATTAATAAAAAAGTCACAAGTAGATACTTCAGAATTTACACTTCAAATTAAAAGTAATAATTTACAACAGCTGTAGTAATTTCAAGTATTCATTTTATATTATTTAGGTAGTGCGAGAAAACGTTTACAGCTATGTAATCGAAATAAAACATAATTATTTAAATACTTATTAACTGAAATTTATTAGAAAAAAATACCTAAAATGTACGTAGTTCCAGCTTTCATAGAGAATTTTCTCTCAATTTAGCATTGCTAAATTAGGTTATAACAATACTAAATAATTTCAAATGAAACATTTCTTTCATTAAAAATGTGATTTGGAAATATATATTCCTATGTTTTGGTTTTATTAAATGGTTGTTTAGTAATTTATTTAATAACTTGGTTCTAAAGTTTATAAAACGGACATTTATTGCGTTTTCCAACTTTTGACAAATTATTGGCGAAATTATCTCAATATTTAAACTTCTTTCTCTTTTGTGAAGATTTTGCTTCTATTTCCAACGATTATTACTTCCATTTTCTAGATGGCAGCACCAAAAATTGATTTGTTTTAGTTCTTTGCTCTAGAATATATTTTGAACTGCAATTATAAATTTAATCTTTTCATTAAGTTAAAAATACAAAA